TTTCATGGACGGTATTTTGGAAACTACTACGTATTGGAATGGCTACGTTTTTGCAAAATAATGTCCATAGGTACTTCGTCGGATCTGATCTCCTACGTAGCCGGAGAGAGAAGCGCATAATTCCTCATTCCGCAAGGTATTTTCATGCACCTAGTATGTAAGTGATGTGTATCAGCTGGCACTCCATTTGCAGCTATATGGTCCGCCAGTGTAACTTTCTTAGACGCTCCAAAACCAAGCCGAAAGGCAGTAACGACCTTCAGGTGACTCCATCGCTTACAATTAGGATTGTGAAACTTATGCATTCAAAATGTATTATTCCTGTGGTAGCAGAAGCTGGAATGCCAGAAAGTTTTGCAACGGAAATTGTGCTTGTAGAGAGAAGAAAAACGAAACAATGCGAGTAGTTAGGATTGAAAGTCTGGGGAAACGTGTTCACGACAGATCCTCCATCATTAGAGCCTCATTTCATTCGTATAAGTGCCGAAGGAACATTGGCGCATTCACTTCCGAAGAAGTGGAGATGATAAAGAAGGAGTCGTGAAAGAAGTGCCAAGTTTAGAACTATCCCTTTTCAGCGAAATTCTGTGGCCTTCCAGCAATTATGCCTATTCACACACCACAAAGGATTCGCATTAGCATGGGTTGATGAGCATAGGAAGAGGGAAACGGGCCAACCGATGAGCCGAGGGAGAGCCAAACAGCTCTTAATCTAGCTTTCCTGGCCTGCCGGAACGAATTCGGGTTTTCCACCGGCTGGCGTTTATATTGACTTGCCTGCTTTATATTCCATTTCATTTTATCCACTTTGGCTCGAGTGCGGGAGAGAGATATGAAAAGGAACATACTTGAAAATGCGAGACCGAAAGGAGAATCGGGCTCGGCAGGTGATCCGGTGAATCGAATTTTGCAAGTCAAAAACTTCACCCACGAAGGTTTCCATTTCCTTCTTCGGTTAGAAGATGAAGTGATAGAAGTCGAGAGAAGCGTAGAGAAAAAAAAAGAATGGGTTCATTGCGATCGGCGCTCGACGCTCCCATCTCTTTTGTAGACAAATTTTTTTCTCGTGAGCAAATGACATTCTCCATATTAAAAAAAAAATTCCATTTTTGTGGTGGGAATTATTCTTAGTCTATTAAGGTCACCAATGGATGATGCGAGTGTGACCTAGTGAGTGGAAGCGTTTTCCGGGAAGAATGCTTCCCACTGCTCACGAAAGAGTTAACATGGATGCGTATGGCGGTGATGCGGTAAGAATGAAAGATGAACTTTTTGCTGCACTGTGCCGATTCTTTTCATTGCAGAGAAAGGCGAGTAGGGGTCGACCTATTAGATCGGGGATCGGTCCTGGAGACCGTTAACCTGATAATTGCGTTAATCTGACAAGAAAAGTGTTCCGTACGTTCGTCCTCAGCTAAGCGCTGGATTAGTGGAGGCACCCTGGATCCAAAGAGAGAAAGCAGAATGTCCTCCGCGGTTGCGCTCGTCGTCAGGGATGGTTACAACTCTTGAAGAGAGGGGAAGAAAGAATCAAGTTGGAAAGAAGGGCGATGTCGAAAAGCAGGGAAAGAGGGGAATGTCGTCATTTGATCATTAGACATATTATCCTAGAAGAAGGTAAACTTCCAACACTGTTAGGGGTCTATCCTTGTTTTGTGGTCTGTTTGGGTTTCGCTGTGAAGTCTCAGTGAAAACTAGGTACATCCTTCTGTCCCAGATTGAGAGAGTTCTCTAACCTAGGCTCAATTTGGACTCGGGAAAAGTGAACTGAATATGCATAGTGGAAGTTGCCCTAAGTTCGATAGGCTTGCCGATCCGCTTGAGTTGCACCCTTCTCTCAAGGCTGCATGCAACACAATGTTGCCTACTTATGCATCGTCGTCTGCTACAGATCTCGAGGGATTGCCAGGCGAGGGCGCAGGTGGATCTCGTTCATGCAATTACTGTACAGAGAGAGCGAGATCACGCAGGGGGAATGCGATGTGCCCAAGTTTGATAGCGGCTTCCTTAGTTCGATACCCCTTGATCCTAATTACGACATCGCTTGTTTTTTTTTCATTTTGGCCTTAGCAATTAGAATGGGCAGTGACTAGAGGTAGGGTTGAGCCGTAACTGCGCATCATAACCCAAATCAGATCCAACAGTCTGTCGGCGTGATGTTAAGAAGGAATTAACAAGTTTGGAAGAAACCAGAAGAGGAGTCACGCCCAGAAATATATCTACATGAGTTGGAAGTAGAGAAGAAGGTGAAAGATGAGTCAGTTTTCCTGGATATATTCGTTTTTTTTTTCATGTTCCCTTCAAGGTCACATTGACGCGATGCGAGGATCTGAAGATATATTTGACAGACACGATTTGTTCATAAACATCCACGACTTGGCAGAAAACAATTAATGTTAGAGGTTCGTGGCTTTCTGCTCCTCTATCCATCGGATTTAATAACAGAGGGAAAACGTATCGGTATTATTTGCACCCAGTGGAGAGTTTTGAACGTATGCAGTCTGCGTCAATTAGTTTTCCTTATCCACTCCAGGAAAGAGAAAAAGACATTGGCTGGGTTAGTTTCAGCACAGGTGACGTCAGAACTGGTTTGTGCAATTGAATTACTGATGACATTTCAATCGCTTTAAGGCCTCTGCTTTACTGGATGAAGATGAAGACTACATGGATGAAGTTCTGAAGAGCTTAAACTTAAAGCCTTAAATACACAAGTATTTAAGGCACCCTGAAAGCGTAGCTTCGTGTCTGACTATTTTGGTTGTCATACAGTAGGTGACTGTAAATTCTATCCAAGAACGACGGACAAGAAATGCGTCTAAAGTCAATGTTAACTTATTGATCAGTTGCGTTTCATTTAATTTCTTAGTTTCCCATGGTGTTCGTAGAATTATCTGGCATTTTCTCGAGTTTCCTAATTTTTTCCAGTGTGTTCCTAATTTCGCGAAAGGTGCGACACCATGTCAAAATTAAGAATGCAATGGGGATGCGTTCCTGAGTTGAAACTTATTGTCTTGGATCTCTGTTAATAACTCGTGAAAGGCCCTCGAGTCATTGTCACATGACACTACAATAACCGCTTGAGAAGCGCACTGACGCGGTTAAGTCACACGAGTTACCGAGAAAAATATTAGGCGTGTCGCGGAGGTTGCTCGAACGACAGAGAGGACTGTACTAACTGGGACTCCACGACCCCAGCTCAGGGGATGGGGGGTACTAAACGAGTCCCTGGCTTTATTTGCTGCGTCATTTCCATATCGCCTTCGTCAACACGACGCAATTGGATGTGGTTGGCCATTATTGTAACCTTCGTGAGCCCCTGTGAGGTGGCTTCAGCCTTACGGGTCAGCTCAATCGCAGGTATGACTGAGAATCATCTGAAACAGTTATATTAATTCCTCTACGTGCGCAAATAATGCTCATACTGAATGTCTCAATATCCTGAATAACGATGAATTCGAGTTTCTGCAAAAAAAATCTCTCTTGATCCAACTCATGACATGAAAATGAAATTCGTCAAATCGAAACAGACAACACGGGCACTTGCATAAACTTCTGCATAACTTGCATAACTACTCGAGTTACATGATGGATTTACTGATCCAAGTTCTGATAATTACGCTTAAATGATCGGTTTCAACACCGACGGGATCCTTTACCGAAACCGGATCCCCTGTGGTGACAACAGGCTAAGAGGGTAAAGGCCGATCCGGCGCCATGAGAAGGTCTGGGGAACGATTGAAAGCACGTGCGGGAGAACTCAAGGGCTCACTTCTTCTTTCAGGGTCTGCATTGTGCAGAGATTTCTCTTGTAACAGATGGCCGGCACCGGTTGACTCTACGCCTCCGTTCAGAAACGTTCTCTTTCAACTGCTTTTACCGTGCCAGAGAGAACATTTCGGATAAAGTACTGGTAACGTATATAACTTGGGTACATATTCCTCACTCGACCGTTTCGTTTAATTATATGATGAACTATGGTGTGTCCCAAACCGAGGTACACCTCATCGATCTCGTTACTTTTGGGCAATATTTTTCTTCCCCAACCCCCTTAAGTGCGACAATTGCCAGCAATCGAATTCTAAATGGAACAATACTAGTGCATGGATCCTGTACCTCATCGATTCTCCAAATTTCGCCCGGGGAATTCATCTTCAATTTTGCAGCTTGATTGGATGCTTGCAAGCGGAGATCCATTTTTTTTTACAATTGTTTGAGAAGCCTGGCTCTCCATGCCTTTTTTTCTGTAGGCGCCAAGGGTTTCTCATGATTGGCTCGGCTTAAGTGTCGAGGGAGCTCATCTCAAGTAGTGGAGAGGCAGTTGCTGTCAAGCTCTTATTCTCTCGGCAATTAGAATTAACAGAGATGAAAATTTAAATCATGTGACGTTAAGACTCTTGTCTCGTAACTCATAAAGGGATTCCATCGCTCCAAGTTGAAAACCCAGAGCCGTCGGAGTTCCAGATGAACTACTGAGAAACGATAGTGTACGTCGTGTCGTTGGAGGTTGCTTTGCTCGGGTAAGGAAAATGCTTTCCAATATTGACTCCAGGGTCGAGGACTGAGACCTTCGATTATGAAAAACTGTTAAAAGTATAAAGGGGGCAATATATTTCTGCCGACTGTGAAAAAGGGTTAGGAAAGGAATCGTGCCAGTTGAATCATTCGCTTCCAGACCACTGGACCACAAATTCGTTTTGATCTGCCGGAGACAAAATTGGAATATATTTCTTTTGCTCTGAAATGAGATATTTCATGTCTCATTCCTGAGACTCTCTGCCTACAAAGCCATGTCCACAACAGAGTAGTCCGGCAAGACATTAAAATTCCAATTAAACGATGCAACCTTGACACATGACAGAACGAGAACATCCTTCAGCTGCCATGTGTGTACGTTTCATGCCATTTCGATACATGTCTCGTCACAAAGACCCTACCACTGAAAATTAAAGAGAGAGGGGCTCACGAGTGCCTCTTGATTGGATGAAGAGTGAGGAGGAGGGCCTGAGAGGATATTCCGCTCATCAAGCTCCAGTCGCTCAGTGTGAGAGTGATGTCAGGGCTTGTCGTGTCGAATTTGAGAATGTCTTCTCCTCAGTGGACTAAAGGGAAGCATAAGAAGAGAGTTGTGCTTGATCTGAACGTGCAAGACTCGCCGACGCCGTCCATCTCTCGGCGCCGGAGTATCGTGGACGTGGTCCGAAAGTGAGTTCTTCACTCTCGCCTCGTCCCATGATCTGGCCGTTTGTCGAGTGGCAGAGGCGATCGGGTTATAGATTCAACTTGTCCCGCGAGCACGAGAGATCAAGTTACGGGTGAAATGGGATCTTTACGCGCTTGTGTTTCGAGGGGAGGAAGGGATTGCAACCCGCCAGAGACGGGGAGGAGACAGAGAGGCACTCGGATGGCAGCGGACATCCATCCCTCCAATCAGGCCACTCCTGCTTCCTCTGTTGGCGCTGCCTTATTTTCTCCCTTGATCATTTACCTTGTCATCATCGTATAAAGTTTTCAAGCGAAACTCCATTTTGTCCACACCTAGTGCAACGGTTGTGCCTAATTTCTATCCGCAAGTTGCCCCTTGCTTAGGAAAAATTTTTGGAACGTGAAACCTTACCAAAAAAATCATTTTATCGACGATTAACCAATGAACGCTCCAATGCTGCCCAATGCGGACAGCGAGCTCCCATCCTCCAGACCGCAGACTATGGTGACTATTTGTCCCGCGTTTCCCAGAAAGCCTCGAATTTTTTCAACCTTCTGTCCGTAATAATTTTGAGCCAAGATTCCAAATAATTTATGCTGAGATTTTCTGGTCTTACCCAGAAATTGACCGTCATTTGTGCTCCCTAAAGGTCGATTTTTTTCTCATTTATAATCAATGAATATTGATAATAATAGTTTTGCATGACGAAAGCGTCAGGGTCACTGCGAGAGACGTCTATAAACCTAAATTATTCGGACTGGATTCTAGGGAGCCTGCGACGACGCAAAAGTCACGAGTTGTGTTCGTGCCCGATGCACGTGAAAGAAAAAACCAAAGCAATTAATTAAATACCGGGCAGAGTGGGAACGCCACTTTTTTTTTTATCCTGCTGCAAGAATGTCTGCTAAGTTTCCCAGCTTGCTAAAACGGCTTTTCCATTGGGCCATTGGATTGATTAAATATGGCGCATATTTTTATCCGACAGAATTCGCGTGAAATGTTCTCGAAACGGAATTGACGTCTAACTTCTCCGAAAGAGCCTCAGGTGCAAGGCAAAGTTTCATATCCTTGCGCCGGGAATTCATTTGATATGCCTTGAATTATAACTGTTGTCAATGGTCGCTCATCGATTCAAATCTGATGCGTTCGGTGGGTGAAACTAGCTTAAGAAATTTCAAGTGTCCAGAAACACAGGCCTCCGTCCAAAATCTTGCAATGTCTTCTCTATGATTCCCGTAGCTGTCAGGTGGTCAACCTACCTCAGACCCTCCCCATTTACGAACTGTTCTGACATCTTTCCCTTTCCCCCATCTCCTACGTTCATCCCTATGGCAATGATGGTCTCTGCAATGAAGAAGTTCCAAAGGTCCCCCTTCCCCTAAAAATCCCCTCCTCAATTGAGTCGCACCTCCCCCCCCTTTCCGATCAACAAGTTTCATGGCTAATCCTTCCCATAGAAATATCCAAAATCCGACTTTATATGGTAATGAATGCCACCGCTCGCGCAGGAATTTAGCCTTCGGGCCGCCAGACCGCTAGGACATCAGTTAAATGGACTTTCCCATCTAATAATTGAGCACCCCTGCTCTAAACAGAAACTCATATTTTCTTGATTGCGACTCCATACCTGCCAATATTATGAATTTTCTCACAAAAATCTCCCTCGTTTTTGAGAATTTTGGGAATAATGAACTATCTACACATCCAAGGGATTGAAACCTTACTTCCCCCTTTCGCTTAGATGAAGCGAGTGAGTGGAACAGGAAAAAACATTGCAGACAACCCGAGTAAGCCCGCCCTTAATAAGAAGTGTCTCCTGCATGAATCTGCCTCTGAGTCCTCTCCAACGTCTTTAACCCTTTGAGCCCTCACCACCGCTTTACCGGTGGTAGAGAGAAATGACGTATTGCCTGATTGGCACACAAAGAAAGAATTCTGGCGTTAAAATGAAGGTACGTCATCCTGCTATTTGCATGCAAAGCATCAATCTCATCTCTTTTATTACAACTATGATATTTGCACAAACATTGTATACCCATTATTAGCAAATTTTGGCCCAGGAGCTCAGGCAGAAGGCTCAAAATTGCTCAGGAACTCAGGGCTCAAAGGGTTAAAGCCCTTTTGTATGTGGAAGTCTCCAAAATTGAACTCAATATTCTAAATGAGGTTTTAACCAATCCCCCAGACAACGGATGAACCCGCGACGATCGATCCCCCTCCCCTGTATGTCTCTCTCAACTGGCCTTCCCCAGATTTTCCTAGTCATTCTTGAGAATGTGCCTCTTCCATGAGCCAACGGGCATTTCGCTCAAGAAGATTGAGCCTTCCAGCAGGACTCTGCGTCGTCCCAGAAGGCAAAAACCACTCGAAATTGGTGCTGAGCTAACCTGCCAGGATTTGAATGGCCGCCTAATGCACCGGATCTCAACCCGTTGGATTTTTCTGTTCAGAGTATTCTTGAAGCAAAGGCCTAAACTACACAAAAATATGGAATCGCTCAAGAGATCCTAACAGGCTGCCTGGACTGAAATAGACGACGATATGCTGCGAAACAATGTGGAAAAATTTTCGAAGCTCTTTAAGTCTCGTATCAAAGCAAAATGAGGATAAATGGAAAAGTTTTTTTTTTTTTTAAACAAAAGTTATGTTCTACTAGATAATTGTGTAAAGTTTGTTTCAATCGGATTAGTAGAGGGTAAAGTATCCTTGTTTATATTTGCTGCATTTCTTTTTGGTCACCGTGTACAGGGTGGCCGGAAAGTTTGGAGACTCCCAAAAGTACCAACATCTTGATGCAATGAAGAGCAAGAAAATTTTTCTTTAACATCTTCGAAATAGCCCCCATTGGCAGCAACGACTTTTCTGAGGCGTTTTGGAAAATTTTCCTCGGTTTCTCACAGCTACAGGGAATTCGTTCCACGCCTTCAACGAAGCCGCCTTGAGACTGTCCAAATTTTTATGCCGGGTAGCGCTGACCTTTGCCTCCAGAAAGGACCAGAAAAGTCCATTGGATTTAAATCAGGGGAGCGGGAGAGCCAATCTTCTGGACCAATGAAACATTAACTTGAAATGCTAGGTGCTCGTTACTTTCCCCCGGTTTACCTTCGTTTCCCTTACCAGGTTCCACAAGTCAGCCGAAACGATCTCATAATTGATAGGCGACTGCTGGCACACCCTTACAAAACGTCCATCTGCATCCACCCAGCTGAACGACTAGGTGGATAAGAGGTGGATTTGGAACCAGATGGATGTCCCACCTGGTTATCTGAGCACGTGTATTTTGAGCCAGGTGGATTGTCCCCCCACCCCGGGGTGGATTTTGAACCAGGCGGACATCCCTCCAATAGTTGGATTCACGCCTAAAGGGACATCCACCTGGTTTCAAATCCACCTGGAATAAGGACTTTTTGAAAGGGCACGGTTCCAGACTCGACTGTCAGACCCCCGTGCCACGTATACTTGTGGATATCTTTGTGCTGAAAGAAAGTTTTGGTTGTGGTCAGTCCATTGCCAGAGCAAAAGTAAAACGACTTTCTACCATTCCCATTCAGCGTAGCTTCGAAACGTACTATAACCCCACTCCTCGTAGCTTCATTGTTCCCAACTCGCGCATCGAAGTCCCCCATCGTCTAAACGAGGCCGCCGTCCGGGATCCCTTCTAGAGCTCCATCTACTTCTTCGAGGAACGCGTCGTAGTCTGACTCGTAGTTCGGTCCGTGAACCTGAAGGCTGACAGGATCCCGATTCCCTCAAATCTGAGGCGGATCGGAGCGACTAGCTCGCCGATCGGTTTCCATTCGATCATGCCGTCTGCCAGCCAGGAGTTAATGGGCCTCTCCCGTCTGGACAAACATGGTTGGGTTTACTACGTTCCAGTAGGGGGTCCATCTGCGATGAAGAGCGATGGAACCCCTGCCTTTCTTTTCAGTCGACGCTAGACTGAGTACATCTATCTAGTCGATGTTTACTAGCCTCTTCCACGACTTCCGACTCACTTCCGAGTGTCAGCGCGTTCCAAGTCCCGATATCCTAATTCCGTTGCCTAAATCGTTTACCACTTCGTTCTTCTCCGGGTCCCATCGTGCCGAAAATACGCTATGGCCAGTGGTAGTGTAGGGCTAGGGATGGCAGGGAGAGGTGCGATTGAATGTCCTGGTATTGTGGAGGCACATCTGACCAGTAATCAGGAGCGTCCGCGTTCGATTCCCGGCCGTTCCCTGGTATTCCTTCGTCTTCTCATGCCATCCAACTCCTTCTTCTACAGGCCATCGACCTTACTGTAGGCCGACCGATAGATCTGGAGGAAGCATGACGGCGTCAAATGTACCCAAAACCAATGGATTGTCTGACCCCAGTATCCATCGTATCAAGTCACCCCGGAAGCATAATGACTATTACGGTCCTGCATGTCCTGGGCGATGACCGATCCAGTATGAAACTCCTTAGCCGAGCGTATCATGCAAGTTTTAGTTCGTCTTGATCACCCTCACAGAAGGGTGATCACCCCGTATCATGGTAAGATCTGGGACAATACGGCTTTCCGAATCACTGGGGTCTATCATCACGATGGAGACGCGAACCGCCCAGGTGCCTTCGCGCTTTCGCTCCTGTGCTAAAATGGCTTGAGAAAGATAAACAAGAATTTTAGGACGTTTGGAGAATACGAAGTAGTCGTTGGAGAGATTTTTGGCGAGTTATCTATCTCATTAACTCCAGAGAATCTCAAAGAGCAGCACGGTTTTTTTTTTTTTACTTCACCCGATATATTGGTTAAAGTCTTACAAAATGCTCTATATGGCTGAATGGTGGGAGGTCACCGAAAATGTCAATTTTCACAACTTTGAATTAAAATAAAACAATGTGGAATTCAGTAGAACGAGTTGCAACTTAGCGCATTCGTGGTCTTTCAGAGGTTAATAATTACCTCAATTAGGAAGCTAATCCCAAGTGTTGCACAGGGAAAATGTTGGGGGTTACAAATTCAAAAATGTGCTAAGCTTTGAAATTCGGCAGAAAAAGTTTAAACCTTGTTTGCAGAAGTAAAAATTACATAATCGGATTTCTCTTCTCGGAATGAATAAATGTGACATAGTAATCAAGTTCGTGTGGATGATAGTTTGTGTAATAAAAGAGTTTGAAGTTTGACTTAAAAGGGATCCCGGGGGCCTTTTTAAGAGGGAGATTCTAGAGAAAAAGGCCAGGATTTCTTTGGCGGTGTGGTTTTCCATTATTAAGAGCGTTTCATGCTTTGCATATCATGCGTCCTTAGCATGGATGCTTGGGCAGGTGGCAGCTGCACGCGTGCACACCCATGTCCACGTCCATCCAAGGATTTTCACAAAACTCAAAGCTTGCGTGTGGAAATTGGACGAGCTCAATTGTAAGCGCAACCCTCGGTTTTGTGAAACCCCTTGGATGTATGTGAACGTGCGTGTGCGTGTGCATTCCTGCCTGGGCATTCACGCAGGGACGCATGATTCGCGAAGTGTGAAACGCACTTTAGGGATGGACGACTATCACCGTGCTTCTTTTTTTCAAGATGGTCGAGCATAACTTTGGCTGTTTGACGCGGAATGACTTTTTTTTATAACCTTCAATCACCATTAGGATTGGCATTCTCTGAAATGCATTGCGTGACAGGCAGAGATGAGTAACAAACTTTTGAGAGGAAGATTTCCAAGAGATGTGGACCCAGTTATTTGAACCATCTTTGGCAGTGAGAGGAAAGGAACAGTTATTTCCCCATGCTTTCAGGACTACGGACGATGCACGGCCATGTTGGCTGCGGGAAACTTTTCTTAGAGCCTCAGCTTTAAAAAAAATTGAAAAGCTAATAATTTCTCTTCAGTTCGACAATGGATTTGGATTTCCATGCCCAGCCTATAAGACGGAACGTGAAAAGTATGTCCTGTCCTCTTTTGCTGCAAGTTCCTTGGGTCCACATGCGCAGCATATTACTGAAGAATAACCTTGACGGAAACTTTTGACGCGCCCTCACTGCTAGGGAGTCTCATGTCTCTCTTCTGCCCCTCTTCCGGTGGCGAGTTTTTTTTTCCCGTTTGGGAGCTGATATAATAACCGAGAGTTCTTTTTTTTTTTCTAAATATGTATCTCATTCATTGAATGACAGGATACTTGTGTTTATAAGTGTTGTCACTCGTTATGAGACGTCGCAGGGGAACCTCTTCAATAAGCTCGTTTCATTTGCCTGGGATATGTCCATCACGACGATATTCATAACCTGTTAATTATTGTATGCCAGGCGAGCTGCAGCCTTACAGTCTGGATGGTATGCATGTATGGTGGCCCTCAGATGTCAAAATGATGTTTTAATGATGCACACACGACCACGTCCTCACAGAAGTGGGCTTAGTGTCATCGTCCTCATCCCAAGCGTGACGGTGATGAATAAAAAATAAATATAAAAAAACGCCACTGGTCGTGAAGAAAATGTTGGTACATTTGTGGAAACACGTGTTTTCCATCAACCCATTCTCGATAGATAATTTAGCGCTTCCAGGTTCACCGTTCCCATCTCTGGGAATATTTCCAGGTCCTTGAGAGATGGTGCATTTATGGGGTGCATTTGAGGAGAAAAAGAAAAAAAAACGTGAGAAAAAATGCCATTAAAAAAATGAAGTACCGCATCTTAAATGGATTTGGGTTTGTGCGGCAAGCAGGCTCAATGATTGCTTTCCTGCTCGCTTCGTCTGCCGCGATCAGGAGCAACAGAATGGGGGGTGGGAGGGGTGGTTGGCAGGCTTCTGTCCAAGCAAGCAAGGGATCGGACGAGCCCGAGTTGTTCGGTTTGAATAGGGAAGGCTACGAAATCCTTTCAGTTAGGAATTCGTTTGCCTTTATTTTTATTTTTTATAGGTTCCTTTTTTGCATTAAAACATTCAAGTCTCACTGGATGGGCTCAGGCTTCGATATTTTTTTGACAAGGTCAGCTATAATTTAAAAATCGGTTGGCATGATCACCATCGAGTGGACATTTGTTATAAACATCCGATCGGAAGTTATAAACTTCCCATCGCTCCGCGCTGTCAAGGGCTACTTATCATTAGAACTGAGCCCTTTTTTTTGTACGGTTCGAATTCGGGTTTGTCTAATTGGGTTTGAGTTCGGATCGGGTTCGACTCTTCCAACTTCGTTGTGCGTCATTCGATTCGGATGTGGAAGAAATTAATGTTCGGGTTCGAATCCTATCGCGAGTGCAAGCATGAGCACGGGCGTATTTTCGTTTCGAGAAGGAAAGGAAAAAATCGCGAGATCGAGCACTGCACAGGGCGAGATGTTCCACGGCGGGACTGGATTTTTGTTGCATAAACATGTGCGAAAAGTGAGTTGAGTTTGTTCCTACAACCTCGTCCTCTTTTGTCTCATCTGTTGCTGCCTTGTCATGTGACTCGTAGCCCTCTCCCCTTAATTGTCTGTTTTCCATCTGAAGTTTCTGGTGATCATCAAACTTTTCAAAACTTGATCGTAAAAAAAAATGAATAAACTTTCCTTAACGATCACGTTTTCTTCCGCTTGGTGCTCAAAGTGATGAGATGTTTGACAGTGAAAACTTATTGAAGGGCGAACATCGAATCGATAATGCCGAGGCCGGAATCTCAACTTGAATAAATTTCTTAAACCACGATGAGATGTTCATCTTTATCATCCCATGATAAGGATGATCTCGAAATCATTTGCGATATCAAATGCGGGACACTACCGGGTGTTGCACATAGATAGCCCCCCTCCACAGCCTAAACTATAGAAGCTAGGAAAACATTTTAAATATATTTGGAATCCTTGTTCAATTTTGAATCTATCCCATCCAGTTTTGTTTTTTCCTGATGTCATATGATGGTGAAAAACTTAAATTCAATGATCGCGCCCATGCTATTACGTTTCGAGCTCATGATGCCAGAGCTGAATTCGTTACCCGTTCATGGATTTCGTAAAAGATTAAACGTTCAGCTTCTGTCTGATGAAGCCCTGTCACACGACAATTGCTGGAAGGCTCAGGATTGCCTTTTTTTAAATGCGGAATGGCCAGATCTGATCTGAATGTGACTGAGAACATTATCCTTCAAGACCGAGTTGAGGCTCATGCACGTGAAGGGCAAGCAGCATGGATTCTCCCGGGAAGCCTTGCAAAGCGACATCGTCGGAGTGTTGAAGGACGTGGAAGATGACACCGAACTCTTTAAGCGCCTCTTTTCATCTTACCCCGTTCGTGTTAAAGCTCTCAGAGACAGAGCCAGATTATGAAGTACATGTTTAGATTCGAAAATGAATGCTTTTTCTCATGATATACGAGTTTTTTTTCTAGCTCTTATAGTTTGGGCTGTGGATGGGGGGGGGGGGGACTATGTGCAACACCCTCGGAATGCAATACCGAATTCTGGCTCTTATGATTTTTGCTACGCGCAAAAGCATACTTGGCCATATTTCGAGTTAATAACGTGAAGAAACAAGTAATGCCACGAAAAACAAGGAATGGAGAAGCTAAGGATAATATTCTGGCTTATGGGGTGCCTGGGGGATTCCCGCTGCTTGAATGACGTGACGTCAGCTGCATGCGACGCATCGGGGTGGGGCTGCAGGTGATCAGACCAGTTTGGGATTGGGTCTCGGTGCCTTCTGACGTGCAAGGGGGACGAAAATCATTTGAGAAACACTGAATGACTCGTCTCCCTTTTTACTGCGTTTTCCTAGATATGCTTGCATGAGTGAGCAATGTGCTTGCTGATAGGAATATTCGCGGGGTAATTAGTAGAACAGTATTTTGCATGGAAATTCGGTATGGGCCACGGGCCTCTTATTTTCGAAAATCAACAGACCACTGTTCTTATTAAATACCACATCCCATTGTGATAAATCGCATTTACCTCTAAGTTTATCAAAATCTAGACTTTTTTTTGCTCCAAGGACGAACAATGTAGTATTTTCGGATCGTGGTCGAGGTTGGCGATCGTCTGACGACATACATAAGTTCCAAATACAGAGCTCCTATGTTATAGCAGTATCTAGCTGAAAGTAGTTTCTGTGACGTGGTGGAACGATCTAAGAAAATTGGTTAGGCATGATAAACTCGTTCTTGCACATAGGTAATTATTTTCCAGGTGCGCATAATACTGCTCAAGTACTGAAAGTATTGAAAAATCACAAAATTAAAATTTCTGTGGGCAGTCGGAGCCCAGGGATTTTGATGAATAAGGCATTGATGGACTTACCTCTTTCCGGGAATGTCAGGAAGTGAACGAGTTTTGACGTACTGTCAAAACTCGTTCTCTCATTCACTCGTTTTCTCGTGGAAAGAACTCTCTTTTCACTATTGAATCAAGCTAAAAATGAGGCTTGTCTAGACTCTTCTGCTTTGCCCAAGGATCTAGTGTGTATTTTGGAAATGCCAATGCAACTAAGTAGAAAAATATCGCGTTCAGATTTGTCCTAAATCTTGGAATCGCCGGACGTTCGAAGTACTGATACATTTTTTAATCGTATAATTTGATGACACATGTACTTCTTGTCGCACAGAAAATGTACCTTGCTGTACTTATTACTTTACTCTGTAGTATTGACAATATTGGCAAGCTTTTCCTATTTCACTCACTGTTGAAGAGTAAAAGAAAATTAATGGACCACCGAACACCACTGAACTAGACTGATCCCAGCGGTGTTTCGAATTGTGGTCAAGTAGTGAATTTCAGAGGGCTCCAAGATGCAGATCCCCAGACTTAATGCCTGCAAAATTATGTAGTAAAATTTACGTCTAGACTTGTCTAGACATTTTTGTTCAGTGAGGTAGGCCCATCTCAAAATGGGAAAGAAATGTGATTTTTTTTTACTTCTCCTTGAGCTGTTAAGTATAACTTTGACACCCAAACTTGAACCTTCAAATCTTGGATCATCAAAAATCTCATCTCCAATCTTGAATCCTGGGAGTTGCAGGAGCTCGAACCATCAGGCTTTCATGACTTGAATTGAATTTTATTCCTTTTCTCTTGCAGCTGGGTAGGAGGATCACCGGTGAGGAGAGCTTCGAAGATGCTGTCGAATGAAATTCCTGGAGGACTTGCAGAGGAGAAAGAAGACTCTTTAAATTTAGAGGAAGGTCCACCAATCACAATGACGGTCTCCACAACAGCAAGTGATCCTGTTGATACCACCAATGGTCATCCATCAGCACTATCGTCATCCAGTCTTCAGATGAGGTGAGGCAAGCTTTTCCCCTTATGCCTGATTATGTTTCAGGAGGGAATTGTGTTCATTTTTGGCATTTTGTTCTTTTAGTAAATTTTATGCAGAAAGTCAATGAGTTGTTTGCATTTGTTGCATGCATTGTCTGAGTCGTGTGGTCCTAAATACCAAAACTCTTGCAGGGGATGTTCTAAGAGGTCTCTGTCTGGATCCTTCATATGAGCTCAGATTCATATAACTCCAGTCATGTAATATTTTATTATTTTCAGTTAATAAGTTTCATGCATATCTACAAATTCAAAGAGCTCTGCATTCTTCTACAGATATTTTACTTTTAAATTTGAGCAAAACTTGGGTAAAAATTTGATTTGCAGTTTCACTTCTTTGGCTTGAAAGTTTATTCTTACTGGAGTCATGCTAAAGGGTACTGATTTATTAATGCATTTAACTCATTTTATAAATCTCCTATGGAGATTGATGATATGGGCCATGCAGAAGTATGAAACAAATCATCACCTCTCACCACTCTTGCCTTGACTTTTTACAAGTCACTATCTTAGCATTAAAATATTCAAGTAAGAAGGGGATAGGTTTGGAATTTGAAGGGAAATATGCAGGAAAGAATTACATTAGATTATTCAAATGATATCAATTTTACTTTGCTCACCAAATGGAGCATAGACAAAGAACGTTTAGAACACCCCTTGCCATTGTAGCAGTGTACTTCGCTGAGGGGCAAAATTTTCACTCTGGTACCAATAGTTTCAGTTCCTAAGAACTAGGATGCACACTTGGCAAAAATCTGACCCTTTTCTTGTATGCTTCTGCCTCATGTGGCTTTGTATGAAGATCCTTGTTGATATCTGGCTGACCGTGAAACAAAGTACTTGTACAGTTGAATATTTCACCTTACCTACAGCCCTCCTATGATTTCAAGTTTGAAGTTTTGAAGTTACATTCCCTCTTAGCCTTACCCACTTGAAATCACATTCCTAAATGTACAAAAATGCACTGATTACTGTTTCAATTGAATAACGATGGCACCAAAGAATCAGGAACAAGTAACAATAATGACTTCCAGCATTATCCAATTATTCCCATTGAGGTACTTGAACATTTTTCCAATTATCAAGCCACCAAAAGGCATTAGTTGTTCATGTGGCAATTTCTCATCTATTTGCAAAAATTATAACTTACTTTTAAGTAATTTTGTAATTGCCTTCCATTCTGACCTCTGCATCTTCCAAAAAAAGCCTTCAAAGTTAATTGCCAAATTAAAAACACATTTTGGTGATTGCCAAACTCATTCTTTATTTGTCATTGCCTGTCTAGTATGAATGAAGTTAATGACGATATCATACCTTGGAATGATAATCTGCCCCATACCCTTCTTAGTCAGCCTGATGTAGAAGTGTGCATTAGCTGGAAAGGTGCATAAAAGTAATTAGGTCTTCAGCTTCCTTGAAATGTAATTCTATTGCTTCCAAATTATTTTAGTTTTAAAGTTATGAAAATATTTCCTTTTAATACTTTTCTAATGAAAATGTATATAACTACATTTCTCAGAGTTAAAGCCCTTAGACAAAATGCATAATTACGGTGTGACTAGTTGTCACAATGTTGACAAATTCCTAATCACAATTTCTCATTTGGTCAGATAAGAATCAGAGGAGGGGGAGTTTGCCTAACAAGAGGGAGGGTTGGGACCATTGCGACAGAGGATCATTGATGCCTCCAACTGTCAATAGTGACATCGATTGTTGTGACAGCTTTAGTCACTATAGAGAGCAGTTCTGATCTACATTGTCCAAGAAAAATTATTGTATAAATTCATATTTGGCTGGTTCAATTGATTCGGGACAATCAGCGAAATTAAGACTAATTGTCACTTATGAGGAAAAGTGGGATTCCAATGACTCATCTTTACATGTTTATTTTGACTCAGAAATGTCTTTCAATGGTTTCATCATCTCCCTCTCATGTACAGTACTCATCAAAAAGTCCCTCACCCTCCCAAACTTTATCGTACGAGCCGATGAAGGGATGGTTATTGTACAGGGTGAGTCAAAAGTCACTGGACGACTTTGAGCAGCTATAACTCGGCCATTAATGCCTTAATTTGCAAACGGTTTGTTGCGTGTTAAATGAGCGTCCTTTATTTGAGCAAACAACATGAAAATTTGCATGAAATACTAACAGGAAATGGGATGAATAAGCAAAAAAGGAAAAACAACATTTTTCAATATAAAATTGAGATTTAGGGTAGAACGGTCATTTTCAGCTAATTTTTGCTGCTCCAAAAGCCGATAATGATAATGATAATGCCGATGAACTTTCTTTAGAGGAACATGTCACCGTCGTTTATTTCTTGTCTATCTGTGAAGGAAATCTTGCCACGATATTGAGCACCACCAAGCTCGATCACGCGAGCCGTCACCGAAAGGCAAATCCAGCAATCTTCTCAGTGATGCATTGCATTAGTTCATTGATCGTGCGCGAATTTTCGGCATATACCTGGTCTTCAAATGAAACCCCACAGCCAGAGGTCGAGTGGAAACAGGTCCGGCGACCTGGGAGGCCACTCGATAGGCCCGACCCGGCCTATCCATCTGTCTTCAAAGCAAAACGAAGCACGGGAGCAGCTGAACTCGCATAACGACAACTAAGTAGACGGAATTTGCCGATGCATTCAATGCCAAGGCGGTCCCGCTACACCTCTTTCTCCAATGCCGTGATAGATGTTGCTACGGAACACATCCCGTTTGTGCAAATAACTTTCGGGAATCGAAATGGATAATGTAGAAGAGGGAAATTATTTTTTTTTATCTCCTTTGCTCCCATGGCGATTTGAAAGCAACCGCTCGACAATCGCACTCCATTTATTAGCGCACGTATTCAGCATAGTCTGGGAACCTGCCCTTCTTCGTCCTGTGCCAAAATTTCTTGCAGTGAACAGTGTAAATGACAACTGCATGATGTCAACAGCACATAAACCGGATCCCTTGACAGAAAGAGGGTGACTATTGAAACTCTCACAAAGGAATGGGATGAGGAGAAAGAAATGGGTTGCGGAATTGGCCTCTGAACAGACGAGCGTTACGGAATCAATTACGGAGCGTTTTGCCCTGTCTGTGCAATGTTTTCCTGTTTGACTTTAGCTTTTGGAGTCACATGTTGGCATGCCTAACTTTTATTGTCAAAATCCTTGCAGGGAGGTTGATGAAAAGCAGGAGAAGCGTTGGAATGCAATATATCCTGGTCAATCGTTTGATGAGAATCGTGGTATCCCAAATGACAACATTCCCTTATCCAGAATCCGGAGGGATTCTACAAACTCAGCGTGCAAGACTGAAGAAAAAGCAGAAATCTCAGGAAATAATGTGTGAGTTCTCTTCTCTCAGCTCCCTTCTCTCCCCCCCCCCTCCTCCCTTTTTTGTTGGATAGTATAGCGTATGGGCAATTGAATTACTCTCTCATGTCACTTGATTCACACCACATTCAAATCGTGACAACCTATGGTCTTGTCTTAGCTGTAAGGTTATTGGACTTTTTGTCAATATTTTGTCAATATCTTTGGCATCTTATGTTTCAGAACTTGAAAATTCAAAACAAGTTGCAGGGATGTTTGAAGGACATTGGAATTTAATATGTTGAATTTAACAAAGTAGTTGATTAGGCATCTGGTAGAAGTTTAAATTTTATTCATTACTTCCAATACCTGTCCTTTACATGTACTATAACAAGGCATGCCTTTGTTTTGGGACAAGGAAGATATCCCTTATTCATTGACTACATACTTTCAGTGAAGTAGTAAATTAACAAATGTATTTGTATTTCACTAAAAGCACTCTTCATGAGTGTCAGCACTGACTCAGTTCCTTTCACCCCCAAAAGAAGAGCTGTCATCTCAAATCCATTGACATCTAGTAGTTTTGCTCTCAGTTGCTCTATATGGAGCATTATTCTGAGGTGTTTTGCATTGCAGTTAGTTGACATTACTCAGCTCTACGAAAAGTGTGTCAATGTCATTTTTTGGTGTACCTTCTTACTTCTTGGTACTTGGGAGCATCAGTGCAATTTCAATTTTTTTTCACTTGTGTATGTCAAAAACTCCACATGCTTCATTGTGAAAGGAGTAGTTATAAATTTTTAATGTAGATTTTGTGAAGTTGACACTTAAAAGCATATGAACAATATACATTTTCATGTTTCTTTAAAAAAAATGTCATTCAGGGAAGCAATATTTAAAGTACAGGATGTTCATCAGTTATTGAAGGGGTGTTAAAAATGTATATCTTGAAAACTACCTGGAATAAATAAATTGGTTTACAGCAGATGATAGCCAAGCACTATAAGTTTTTATATGTATGCTTGCTGCATGAGCAACTGAGACAGAGGAAGAGAGAGAGAGAAATTGAGAGAAGGGTAATATCTTGCATCAGTTGATGAAATCATGACTGCTGTGCAAGAAAAAGCCCAGTGCATTTTGTGGTATGTGGAATTTAAAATGGTTGTTCTCTTTTTATGCAATTTTAGAAAAATATTTCAAAAAGAATCTCCAGGTAAAAATTATTTCAGAAGGTGGTATAAACTGTTCCAAGAAACTGGGAGTGTGCTACCCAAGAAAAGAGGGTAATGAAATAGGGCCAATACAATAGTTAATCATGGTCACCAGAGGTGACCCCTCTGGACCTTTCTTTGTGGCATGTAAAAGACATTGGATGCAAGACAAAATTGACATGTTTGGATATTTTACAAGAGAGAATAAGAGATGCATTTTCAACAGTTGGAAATGCTTGAGAATATACAGGCAAAGATTGAATTTTGCCTGGATGTGGGCAGTGCTACAGATAGTGCACATAAGGAAGTGTACTAAAGGTAAGTTTAAATAGTAAAATATATATAGTGTTTAGCTACTGTCAGCTCCAAACCCATTCAATCTATTTCTAATATTTTTCAAAATATCAGTTTTTAAATTCGTCATCAAGCAGCTGAACAAAACATTCAAGCTGAATAAAATTCCCATTTCTTCCTTAGGTTCCCTCTTGAACTGGTCACCCTGTATATAGTTTTCTTGCTTTTTCTTTTTGATGGCACTGCAACAGTCATTTACTAGTACAGTCGAACTCGGTTATAACCTCATCGAAGGGACCAGGTAAAAACCGTCGTTATAACCGAGGTTCGTAATAACCGAGGTTGCCTTTATTGGCACTCCGTTTTCCTGTTTTCAAAACTGATGCTATATAGCGTTAAAACTCCAGTTTACATTGGTGATACTGCACTAGCTTCAGTTTCAAGATTGACCCACTAATCGTGATGTTCGCGCTTCTTTGGACCTTGAACTACTTTATACTTTAGCAAGGCTTCGTCGATGTCATCTCGACAGACCTAGGAAGTTTCTACAGTTTTCATTACCAATTCTTCTTTTTTTTTCTTCATAACTGCAATCAAAGGGAAAATGTTTCGCCTTAACACATTGGTGACGGGCCCCAAGAAATCTCGTAGTACGCTCGCCCGTCACCAATGGCTTGGGGCCCGTCACCAATGTGTTAAAAACAACGACAGAAATTATGGGCTTCAAAGTAGCCCTTACCTGTAGACCTATTATGCAACTCTTGTCAGACAATGAGACAGCCCAGCAAACAATTTGAAACAAATAATGCTGAATCAACGCTTGTAACATTGGTACAACATAGCTTTGTTTGCTGAGAGGGTCTTCTACTCGAAGAGAAACAACAGGCACCTTGGTTATTAAAAAAATAACAATGTAACTGCAAAAATTACGTGAAATAGCCATTCAGCCTGGGATACTTGCATTCCATGTTGTACGATCTTCAGCTTTGGCGCGATGTTATGTAGAGCAGTAGTGTTACCGGAACCTCTGGACCAGATGGGTTGAGTTGAATTTTTAACTCGTTTGGATGTTTCATATTGCGTGGCAAGATTGGTCTAAATGGTGCTACGGAAGAAGAGATTTCCACATGAAGTACATTAAATTTCTTGTATAGTACTACCAGTAAATTGCCATGCCCGATTTCCAGGGGGGGGGCAAGTGCCCCCCCTTGCCCCTGGGAGCGGACGCCCATGTATAGGTTGAGTTGAATTTTTAACTCGTTAGGATGTTTCATATTGCGTGGCAAGTTTGGTCTAAATGGTGCTACGGAAGAAGAGATTTCCACATGAAGTACATTAAATTTCTTGTATAGTACTACCAGTAAATTGCCATGCCCGATTTCCAGGGGGGGGCAAGTGCCCCCCCTTGCCCCTGGGAGCGGACGCCCATGATTGGCCATGTTATCAACGAAAAATGCACATGGCGACTGAAGATAAGGTGATCTTAGTTACTGGGGATTATCCCTTCCTAACATTGCTCCAGCCACACGCACATGACTCTCAAGGAATGCCGAATCCAGAAAATACAAAGTTATGACTCGTCAACACTAATTTTTCCGATGACCGAAATTTCAGTTAAGAATGACGGATTGGGGACATGAACGTTGTCGATTTCGTCTGTGGGAGCTTCAATGGACTTCGTTATAACCGAATTCGCTATAACCGAGGTAAAATGTAACGTGCCTTATGGGCTCTACGCCGGGACTTGGCACTTTTGTCGTTATAACCGAGGTCGTTATAACCGAGTTTGACTGTAGTTGATAACATCCATCCTGTCCCACTCCTGTACACTACCACTTTCAACACAGGGACCATACTCCCACTTTAATTAATTGGGCTCTGTGCATCCTACTCTATACCCGGTTCTAACATCTCCTTTGAAAAAAATACCAATGAATCATCTCAGTTTTATTTTGTTCTGACCCAAAGTTTGAGCAATGTCTATTTTTTTGTGTTTTCGTGAACCTATTGTGTCTGTTCTCAACCAATGGTCATCATGTAAAAGCTGATTTTAATTTTTTTCAGGGATGGAATGTTCCAGATGATCAGTGCAATGTATGGCAAACTTCTTGTTGTCATGGGCCTTGCCTTCCCTCTCTCTGAAATTATCTCATCTCGCATCCCAGATGCTTTCTATGAGGTGAGCTCATACTTTTGAACAGACCTCAATCCTCTTTGAATGAACGGAGAATCATAATGGACAATGGCACTAGGCTGACTGAATTACATGTTATTTCAAAGATAGTAGAAGTCAATCCATGTTTTATGTGCCTATGGTGAGTGCATCTGCTTGCTTTTCAACTTCAAAAACTGTCTAATAGGTTCCACCAAGTTTGAAATCTCCATCCAAAAATATTCATATAAAATATTTTTTAACAAAGTAGTTGATTAATAAGAATACAGATGATCATAGCTCTTTTTAAGCCCTTCTCCAGCAATTTCTCTGAGACATGTTAAACATGGATTCTAAATGTTGATCACTGTTGGAAGATTGAAGAAGCTTGAAAAAAATATTGACTTTACAGTGGTGTTGACAAAAGTGTTATCTATGGTAGCAAATGGGTTTTAACATGATTTAAATTGCTTTCCCTTCACAGTTATCAGCTTGGGAAAACTTTCTGGGTCCCAAAATTCTTTTTCAGCTTTCAGTTATGCACTTAAAACTTTTATTTCAGTTCCATTCCTAAGTTCCTCATTCATTCCTAATAGAACATTTCTCCAATAGCAGAGGAAAATATTCTCCAACTTCCACCCCCCTTTTGATACAATGTTGCTTGACAGTTCAATCATATATGAGCCATGTGCTCTTTGAAGCAATAGAAAATACTAAAATGAAAGAAAATTTATGATTGTTTCATTGTATTGTTTCAGGAGGGACAAGTGTCCATTCTACTATATATTAGTTTCTATTCCTTGCACTATTTCTCTATTTTCATTTTTGTTACATTAGACTAATTTTATCTTTCTTCCCCCCAATATCTCTGTTATTGTTCTGTTCTGATCCAAAGACCTGTTACATCTCTGATCCCTTTCAGATAGGAATCTAGCATCACATGAAGTTGTGGGCATTTTATTTCAGAAGAAAGGTACTTTGTTTTTATTTTTAGGGATTTTACCTCTACCTATATATCGGAAGCATCCTGTTCCTTGGGTATGTGTATATCTTCCTCCTGAGCACAAAGCGACTCTCATCTCTCGGCCTCCGTGAGTCAGTTTGTTTCTCCTTGACAGCATCGCATGTTCATTCTTCCTGCCCTTCTTCCTCCTGTGTATATTGTGTGGATTCAAGATTTTATAATCAATTAATCATCATAGCATACAAGGTGATCCTCTTGGTGCAATTTATGAAAGGTTATTGCTACTCACCCTCTATGACACTTATGATCAGCATTAAAACTACCCTGTGGCTTGATCTTTGGGTGAAGATCAAACATTACAAGGATCTCTAACTTTATTATGATCTGGAACCCAGATAACATTTTTTGTGGGGCCCATGTTGGCCCAACGGGATCCTGCAACGTCAGGATATGCTTGCCCCATGTAAAAGTGACCATTGGGCCAATGTGGCTCAACTGCTTGCTTTATAACTACTTCTAGGCATTTACCCTACTCTTTTTGATGGTGCAGAATACAAAGCCAAATGTGTGGCATGGGGCTCTGTCCTGCATCAGCACAGCCTTCCCAGATACGTTACGTTGGGCCCACGTTGGATAAAGGTGGGAAACGTTGGCGGAACGTGAATGTTGGGGAACGATGTTGGCCCCATGTGGGCCCAACGTGGGCATATCCACACGTAGAAAAGAACTGCAGCACTCCTGGTGGAGAACTTCAAAACCTTGAAGTTCTTCGCCAGGCCACTAGATGTAGGCATGAGGTCTCTCTTCTCGCACAGCACGCAAAAGATCCCTTTTCTCTTTCCCTGGAATCGTCTTTCGCAGGATTTTTTAGTACCTCGCCATATGTCTCGCCTAGTCTCATTACAGGAATCAATAAACGCGGACATTTCACCATTTGTTATCCACTTATTCATGATAGATTCATGAAGCTCAGGCCATAAACAAACTCATTCCCGGTAAGAATCCTTTTGGAAGACAGGCATATTTCATTTAAATAGGAGATCTGAAATATAGAGGGAGCTTCCAAAAACTCAATTCCGTTATTTCCTCATCTTCATTGTAGAAGGAAGAAATGCAGGACCGATATTGCGGATACTTCATGGAACCGGACGAGGTTCTACCTCCTCTGACACGTACTGTAATCAGTACAGTCAGGGGAAGATCCACGTCTGTACTGTCGTTTGTCTAGTGCCTATCAGGGTAAATGTCCTTGGTAGGTTGTAGTACATAGTACAGGTTCCGTACTACTGATGGGAATACCTCCACTGGATAGGGAATCTAAGTATATGGTACGATATGATGATGATATAGAGCAAAAACCAGCTACTTGGGTAAGAGGGTTATACGTTGTTATCCAACTTACTGCCAACTTTCACGTGGGGCCTACGTATCCTGACGTTGAGGACCACGTTGGGCCAACGTGGGCCCCACGAAAAATGTTTTCTGGGTATTTTGTTGCCCTGAGCAGATTGCCTGGATTTTCCTGGAGCCCATGTACATAAGCATAAAGTTTTCGCAGTGGCTGACAACGCATTAAGTCACGTTTAGTAGGGGTGGGTCAGAAACTTTTGGTATATGGAAACAGGTACTTTAAAATACCCCTTTTACGCAGCTACACCTTCACAAATTAGCTGGAAATTCTAGCTGGTCCAGACTGGAATTTCTGGGTTATACTTTGATTCATACAATTGTATGTACAATGATGCAGAAAAAAAAAGGGAAGAAGGGACTGTTTCTTCTGAATATAAAATGTCTCATTTTCCTGCTCTTTCTAATTTTCTGGCTAAGTTTCTTTCTCTTTTTTCCTCAGGAATGCGGCATCAAAACACTGAAGCAAACCTCACTAGCAATTTCAGCAGTTTCTGCTCAAATTATAGTGCTGATGAGTCATTGACAGATGTTGTCCGGACGTCACAGTCATATTCCCAGGCACGGTCCAAGAGACTCTATCTTCTCCAGGATGCTAAGATCCATTTTGGAAGCTTCTACCTTCGTCTTGGTGTTCTTGGTATTTTTATTTGTGGTGGCTTCATGCTTTCACCTTGAGGATCAACACTTTTTCTAAAAAAAATAATAATAATTTCAGCTTTTGGTGTTGGGAATATGATCTACTCTGGATTGGAATTCACCCAATTGTTTGAACACAAACCTTCATATTGCTCCAAGAAGATCATTGCAATAACCTCTGGTGTCCATGTGGTCTTCACTTTCCTTCAGATGTACTTCGTCTTTCTCAATTCTAAGGTAATGAAAAGCAAAGCTGCTATTCTTGTGTGATGACTATGCTTGAAGCAAGTCAATGTTGACAGTGCATCTGTAGCATGGTCTCATTTTATCATTATTGTCATGACTCCCTCTGACATGGTCAAAATATCACAGTGAGGTCTTCAAACTTCCACTTCCATGAAATGCTATCAAAGAAATCTTGGACAGAAATTTTTAGAGATTCCTTGTGGAATTTTTTTTTAAAGAATGAATGTATGAGCTCTTAAAGAGACTTCCTATGAGAATGAAGCTATATTTCTAGCACCTGAGTGCTAGAAATTAAAAAAGAAGAGATTTTAGCATTACCATATGAGTCTCATTTGTAATGAATTAGGTTGATTCTGTTAAATTCCATCAACCCATGGGCATATTCTTAGGAGTTGCACCAGGACTCATGCTTCACTTCTGTGAGATCCTAGAAGAGTGAGTGGGGACCACAGCCATTATATTGCAGAAAATAAAAAGCTCCATGCAGTCAAAAGTAATCCTCTAATGCGCAAATTTCACCATTCTATTCACAAAATTATTAGTATGAGTCACACTGGAGTTGCTCATCATGGTGTGTTCCAATTCTCTTGAATGGCAGAAGACTAACTGTGCTTAACTTTGGATGCATTGTTTGCTGGAAGGAGGTTATTTTTTTGCTCATGATAAGCAAAGAGAGATACTGAATGTCTCCCAATAATATTCCCTTTGTCAGTGTCATTTTCATTGATGATATCTTGGCATTTGTTGCTATTAAGGCAAACCATGTGCCACATTTTCCAAACTCCAACTCCAACAATATGGGCACAAAGGAACCCATGAGTGGGGCCATATTCCACTTACTGTACATTGTCCTGCAAGTAACTTCCAGGCAATTATGCTCATGCAAACCTATAGACTGAAATTTAGACACTCATTCTATCAACAAAATCCAGTTGAAAAATCTCCATTTATGGTTGCTCTTCCAAGCAGAAGACCCAATACAATGTATTGCTTTCTTTGACAAAGCTTGAAATTCCACCAATAATCTGGAGAAATTAGTCTTACCATTTCTGAACATGAGAAACCAAATATCTTATTCCAGCATGCAGTATTGAAAGTAAATTTTTAAAAGTATTCATATTTAAAATTTAATTCAGTTTAAATTTTAATTTTAATTAATTTAAATTTAAACTGAATTTTTATTATGTTTGCAGTTCTGCCACTAATACTAGTAGCAGCATGCTACTAGTAGGCAGAACTGCAGTTGATTTGATATGGTTGAAATTAACATGGGGATGCTCCTCATGTTAATTTCAACCAAATCCAGACCTATCATGAGCAACTCATAAAGAGAACATTTTTAGCAAGATTAGGTGGATCTCAAATTCAGTCTCTGGCACATGAGTTGGTCCAACAAGCCAGTGCTATGGAAGAAAACTGAGAAGCAGAAGAAGCAGTGAATAACAGTCAAGAAAGACAAAGGTGCAAGGACAGCTCCACCATTCACGGGTGAAATAAATTCTCAAAAAAGTATTGCGAAGGATATCATTTCACTTCCATCTACAGAGAGCTTTGGGAGAAACATTTCGTGGATCTCACTTGTCAATGCTTTTTCTGCTTCCAGCCATATCACTTTCTTGTGTCCTTTCACTGAATGGCTACAACCCCATGTGTACACATCTTTGGATGCTATTGCCTCCCTAAATTGGTTTTCAAAAAGAGTTGCTGCCCTTTGAGAGTTTGTTTGCTCTCCGGGCAAACAAACTCTCGATGGTTGCTCCTTCGGCACACTCGACGATGTAAGTGTATAGAAGAATTCATCTGAAATGTGCGACTTCGGTGCTTGCATCTTCTAAAGTGGATCCATGGATCATGGATCCACTCCATTGATTTCAGGGATTTTTCATTTTGATGGAAAATCCTCCTTTGAATATTCTCAGATCCAATACATGGCAACAGTCGAGTCAGGACCGATTGAATGGCATCCACGATCCTCACGACTTGGTTGTTGCCGAGGATTAGTTCTGGGGATTTTTAAAGGCGGTTTCCAGCACGATTAAACTCAGAAGCATGGAACAATTACAAGCACGCATCGAAGGGCCAATTGAGACTATATGGACTTTTGGACGCGTTTCATTCAGTGTACATTCTAGTGATACCACCAAATGCTGTCAAGAATGTCTCGATATAAAAGGCGAACAGATCAAAGGCGTTCGAAAATTATTTCATCTTTACCGCATTACTGCAAATAAAGAATAGTCAGAGGAATGTGCTGAAGCTTGTTTTACCTTTCTATCATTGCTAGTTCTGGAGTTATGAGCAACCAAATAGTAATTTTCATGCCGAATCCTGGTTGACCTGGGATTGCTCTTTTTCCGTTTCAGATGTTAATCCCCAAGTACAAGAAGCTGGCAAACTTCGGTCTCATGCACATGATAGCTACTAATTTATGTGTGTGGCTCCATGTGCTTGTCGAAGAGTCCAAGCACGAGTTTCTCGAGATTTATCACGAATTAGGACTTCACAATGCCTCAAGTCCTTATCACCACCGCCAGAAACATCCCTCTCTTGCTGATGGTATTGCAGCTGCTGTCACTGGAGGTGAATTGTTCTTGCTTTCATACGTTAGACACATGAATTTCAGTTAAACTGCTTGTTTCTTTTTCCATGGAGTGCTGAGGAAGGGAGCAGAACTTAGAATTGTCTATTTCAATTCTATTTTAGAAAGGTTGAAGATTCTTGGAGATTGATGAGTCAGTTTTTTTTTGACGATGTGAATGTATCATAAGTAATCTTTACCAAGTATTAGCTTTGGTGAAGTGGAGTTCGGAGATTATTTTCTTTCAAGTATGGTAAAATGGCGAAACTCAAACACCTGAAAGTTAAGCCCCACGCACGCTCGCTCGGTTGGCTCGACCTTAAGGTGTGTGCTCTCGGCTTAACCTTCAGATGTTCGAGTTTCACCTTTTACTCTATAAAAAAAAACTATTCTAATGAATGAGTAAGGAGAAGATTATGCTTAAAGTGAATGTACAATGTACGTTCAGATACTTTACGTGATGGTTGCAATCTCTCCATCCTAGGTCGCGTTCTTGACAACGAAACCCAATTGTACCAAAATGAAACCCAGCCGTATCCCTCATACATGCACCATATTCATAGGAGGGCCCTGCGCAACTTCATGAAAGGAATGTACGACAATTACGAGTGCAGCCGCTCTGACATCATGGGCGAAGTGGTGCAGAACGCCAGTCCTTTCCTTTTCCCGTGCGTCATCGAGTACAGCCTCATTTGTGCGGCCATCCTGTACGTGATGTGGATAGACGTGGGCGTACCGACGTCGTCGAAGAAGAAACACACCGGGATGCTCCGCTATTCCACCAAGAGGTCGCGTCACCACTATTCCATGGATTGTGCCGGTGCCAATCGGGGGCTCTTCATGGGTCTCATCATCCTCGTCCTCACCGTCATCAGCCTCATCCTCTTCTTCGTCCTCATCTCTCGCGACAAGACCAAGGAGCTGGCAGTGATCATGGCAAACGTGAGCGAGCTCGTCTTGTACGTGACGACCGCGGTCGCGTCCGTGATCGGGCTGATCATGATGCGGAATATGAGCGTCGTCAACCACAGACTCCAGATCGATTCTCTTCTCCTCATCATCGCTCAGACCGGACTGTTCATGTACTCGGTCTTCATCATCATCGGGGGCTACTTCATGATGAACGAGAAGGACGACAGTAGCTTCCTCACGCTCATCACGGGGCTCATGTCTCTCATCCAGGGAATGGTCCAGACCATCTTCATCTTGGACGCTTCGCGGCGTGTGGCCACCTGCAGCTCTCAGGCTCGGCGTAAGCCGGGTCGGGAGTTCGTCACGTTTCTCATCGTGTCGAATCTGGCGATGTGGGCGATCAACACGCTGGAGACTAGTCGGGCTAACGTGCATCCTATTCACCTTCGGTTCTACGGGCAGTGGGCGTGGACCATCATCATACACGTGAGCATGCCGCTGGCCATCTTCTATCGCTTTCACTCCACCGTTTGCCTCTGTGAAGTCTGGACCAAGGCCTACAAGATCAGGGCCATAAAGGTGTGAGTGCCATCCTGCTTTTCTCATCGTGGAAAGACGTTCATCTGGGGACGATTGCTGATTTCAGCACGACCGAAGCCAAGCTTCTGTATACCGGTTGATGGAACGTTTCATTCCAGTGCGCTCCACCCCAGAGTGCGATTCGTGGCAGTTATGCTGTCGATATTATATGTTCTTATCCTTGTGTTTGTAAAAGTGATACATGTGGAATTATACATAGGTGACTTGAAATGAGGCAGCATTTTTTTTAAGGCTTTTTTTAAAACTATTTTTCATCACGGATGTTTTACCGAATTTAGCATCTCCGTTCTGAAAAGCTTTGAAGAAACTGATGCTTTTTATAGAATTCAAATAAATTTGGTAAATCTCATAAGTGTTTCCAATTGTGAATCAAGTGGCTATATAAGAGATGACACCTCTTTTTAAGATGAAAGCTTTTATTTAATGAAAAATAAAGGTGACTGTCACTATTGAACTCGCTGTTTTCCTTGTTCCAAAACTGGTGAACACGTAGACGTTATGGAGAATTTCACCCATCCTTATTATACACTAATTACCTCTTCATTCCATCAAGTACAGCTTAGCTAAACTGACCTAAAGCGTTGACGAAGGTTACCAAGTGACGAGTCAAGCTCCATTTCTATCAGTTTTTTATTATGCACATTCCACCGTCATGAAAAGCCGATGTTTTTTGAGACCTACCTAAATCAATGCAGCCGAGACTGCCGCTCGTGTCCCCCGGATCTCTTGGAGTAATATCCCATCATCTCCAGATGAATATGCACAAGAGCATGAATGAATAATCGGGCATGGGGCTATGGAACTCCTGAGAATGACGTGATTCATGTGACCGATCTCGTTCGATCCCAAAGCGTTTCCCTTTTTTCCTCTCCACGATAATACAGAATTGGACAGAAATGGAAAAGTGAAACTTGGCACACGTATAAGTGACATGATATTACTGAGCTGAGGGAGTACTCAGTTTTCATGGGGCATCCCTTCCGGGCAAAGCTTTTGGGTGGGTTGGCTTTTCCAAGCATGCTTTTTCACCAGCGAAAAACGCAAACGTATAATATTGAAACTTTGTGGGCATGTTGTTCACTGGGCAGACATAGAAAAGTAGCTGGCGCACGAATCACTGACGTGATGTTGATGTAAGGAAAAATGAAACTTTTTAATAAGTCTCCTCAGAGCACAGCTTTTGGGTGGGTCGCCTTTCCAAATACATTTTTTCCGCCAGCAAAAAG